TAGGTCTTGTCAAGATTGTATCTATGAGCCCTTGTTGTCGAAGATGTCCTAGAAACTTTGTTTCCCATAATTTGTAGTTTTTCTCGTCTCCATCAAAAAGAAGTCTTGACCAGCGGCTGGATGCCATTTCCTTTTCTCTTCTGTTCATCTTCTTTGTTTTTTGATCTCCAAACTGTTCAAACACTCTGGGCCCATAACCTGTTAACAGAGTTCGCTTTTGGCACAGCGTTAAACATGACGCATGAAACTTGGTTTGGTTTTGTGTTGCTCCTCCTCACTCTCACGCTCAATGTTTGAAGGAGCACACACCTTTTATTAATCACAGGTGCACAGGTGCAATAAATTAGAAAAGTCACATGACTCAATAAACCAATAAAAATAAGCCAATTAAAAACAAACAAACACACAAATCTAAACAAATGAGAGCATCACAAGACAAAAACATTCATAATGTCAACAGGTTTACTTCCGGGATGAACATAAACAAACCGGAGCACCCTAAATGGACCCACGACAGGTTTTAATGACGTGAGGACGTTACTGTACTCCTTGATAGAGCTACAGGTAATACAGGTCATTTTGAGCTTTTTCAAAGATTCCAGTAGAAATGTTGTGTCGCTCACCGATAGGGCTGTATACCGAACCGAGGTTCTTTTATGGCACCGACCCAACTGCATTGGTTGGTGTATGGATTGAAACATGCCTCTTATTTCGGTGTCAAGTTTCAGTATTGACTGTAACGTGACATGTGGTTTGAGCACGCCGGCAGGTACAACGTAGACATATTGCAAACAGACTATGTGTTTACACCCAGAGCTGTATAGCGCTGCCGTATAGCTGTATGTCTATGGCGCTGGTTACGCCCACGGACGGGGTTCACGTGTGCAGCGTGTGTGGCGTCGAGCGGCTTCAATTTACGAGTGAAAAGTTGCTCCGTGTTTTTCTGCAAGGAGAGGGGAGGACCACAGCCTCCTCCTCTCAACGTTAAAGTCTGCCTGTGAGTGTTGAACGGCCTGACTCAACATTCCACAACCGGACTCCTCTTCATCAAAGAACTCTGAGGACCGGCGTTGTGTGTGGGATTTCAGCTGGTAAGTTTACGTTTTGTTAACATTACTGCAGCTTAATACGTGCATTGCTGAGAGTTAAACTAGGATCCATGTAATGCTAACTTTAAGATATTAGTGTGTAGCTTTATTTTACCTATGTAGCAAGCTAAACTCAGAAGCTAACTAAAGATTGACACTAAAAGATGAAGCTTAGCTTGTAAAAAAATGTGCTCATCCATCTGGTCAGCTGCTTAAACAGTTCACCTAGTGCTCACTGTTTGTTAATGTTCTCCTCACAGGAGCCTCTGACTCTGATGTGAGGACAGAGACAGACAAAGGAAAAAAGAAAAGCGAGATGGGGGCCACAGGACAGTCACAAAGTTTGTTGTTAAAAGTTTGCTGCCTTTTTTTTTTTTTTACAGTGGAGGCTGCATGGTAGAGGTAAGTAAGCTGTAAAGGATATTGTTGACCAGTTAAACTTTTGTCTCTCAGCCTAGATAATAGATTTTTGAGCAATAATAACACAACCATGTTATTGTTGATGTTTTGTTTTCTCATGTCAATTAGGGAGATGATCAGAGCCCTAAACCCTAGAGAACCACAAAGAAGATTCAGGAAGCAACACAGAGGTGCACATGTCTGCATCAACCCTAACCTCAGTGAATCCAGTGGCCTGGTGGTGGAATGTGAGGGACAATATGTCAGTGCTATCAAACTGACAACCAGGTATCTGTATGTGCAACAAGCATCATCCACACCCTCAGAATGAACATTTTCTACTGCTGGAGACACCATCAGCCAGGAGCAGCTTGTTTGTGTCCAAAGAAAACAGACATGATGTTTCTGAAGAAAAACTGTTCAGTGAAAAGGTCCTCAGTGTGGATTCCTTAGATAGATAACTTTACTAATTGGCTTTTATGTATGTGGATGTTTCTGTAAAGTGCCCCGAGACAAATTTGTTGTGATTTGGTGCTATATAAATAAACTGAATTTAATTGTAGCAGTGAGCATTAGACACTGACGTGTCACTGGTTTGTAACTGGTCTTTTGACCTGAAAATTATTTGCTTATTTTTATGTAAAAAAGCTGCTTGGAATAGAAAAATACCAAAGTTAAAAATAAAACTCAAGATTTGTACTGTAATTTGTAATGTAATTTCAATCTTGTTAGAATATTAATTATTATTAATCTTATTAATTAAATTTTTTTTTTTATTATTATCTTAATTGCAAAATTAGTACCAAAAAAAGAACCGTTCAGGAACCAGCACCGAAGTGAAAGTAACGACACAGACACAGATTTTTTTTTAGAAAGGTACCCAGCCCTAATTACTGACCAGTTTTACTTCCCTGGCACGCTAATATTATTAGCATTAGCCATGTGGAAATGACATGGGTTGCACATGCGTAGTCAGGTCAGCTTTTTACGATTGGGAAAAACAAAGGACAGATTACGTGTTTACATGCACACCGTTCGGGTTATGGATCGGCGGCGTAAACCACCCATTTCGTTCTGATTACAAATTCTTTCGGATCAAGCTGAATAAACAAAAAAATAATCCAAATGGGGCATTTACATGACTCATTTTTAATTCAAATGGCTGTTTAATCCGATTACATACGTCCATGTAAACATAGCTACTGATCTACCACACCAAACATTTGCGTAACGGCTGTAAAACTTACCAAGTCATAGTTATTTTTTTATTTTGTTTTTGTTTTTGGTATGTCCATCCAGTTATTCTCTGGATGTTTTATTAAAATTTGTCCAATTTTTCATCAGATTTTTTGCTAATAACATACCCAAAGATGAGCAAAAACACACCATCCTCTTTCACCACCGGGAGACAAAAACCCATTGAAGGACCAAAAAACTGTGGAAATGTTCTGATAGCAGTACCTCGAGGACTTGAGCATCTCCATGCTCAACATAAATCAGTCAACAATATTGGTTTATCAATTGCAGCGTGAACTCCAAAAGACTAACTCCACATTTCTGAGGCTTTCCTCACAGGGCAAAGGTCACACAAAAAAGCCTGCTGAGTATCGTAATTTCCGCCGTACACGTCGCACCACCCTATAAGTCACATCAGTCCATATTTGTCTAATAAAGTGGAAAAATCCATAAATGTCGCTTTGCCGTATACGTCGCATCTATTATGTGTCACCCCTGACGCGTCGCGTTTGTTAGGCGTCAAACCAGAAATGTGGGCCGGTGTTGTGCCAAAAATCGATGGGCCACCAAATGGCGGCCGCGGGAGCGTGCATGGGAGGACTTTAACAAGAATTTAGCAAGATTAACACTTAAAAACAATTATTTGTTTGCTCAAAATTATATTTAAGTGTGTATCAATTTAACGTTTGCTTAATAAATGCACTTTAATGGTCAAATCAGCTGAATTTCAAAAATAGTTTTGCTGCCGAGGTGCTGCAGAGCAGCAGCTTGACCAGCCGCAGCATTTCTTTAAAATTTAACAAGATAATCACCTAAACAATTATTTTTTTGCTCGAAATTATAGCAAAGGTGTGTCTCAGTCTAACATTTGCTTAATAAATGCACTTTAATGGTCAAATCAGCTGTATTTCAAAAATAGTTCGCTGCCTCGTTGCTCCATGAACGCGTAGAGGAAGACAAAAAGGAAGAAATAACACGACTAGTTTCTCCGAAAATTAAGAAGAAATGCAACTAAACAATCATTTGTTTGCTGCAATTTATAGCAAAGGTGTGTCTCATTCTAACATTTGCTTAATAAATGCACTTTAATGGTCAAACCAGCTGCACTTTGCCGGGGCAGTGCAACTGGTTTGACGATCGGTCTAAGCAGTAAGCAGAACCAAGGTGTGATTTGTTTTGGTCCGGTCTGTTCTCTACTCTGTTGGCCATTTTAGTTAGCTTCTGCTGCTATTTGTATCTGTATTTCTATTTTATGTTTTCCTGTTCGCTGTGCATGTTTGTGTTCTTTTGTACAGCACTTTGGTTGGCCTTGTTGCTGTTTTAAGTGCTCTATAAATAAATTGGTATGGTATGGTATGGTAAGGTGGGAAGGCTATGGCAGGCCGATTGTATCATTAAACACTGGTGAAGATTCTCAGTCATCCAGGACATGGTAGATTCAAAAAAGTTCAAGAATAAAAACAAGAAAGTATAAAGTATAACAAATAAAATTTAGTTGTTGTCTTGAACTTTTAGGAATTTGTCATTACAGCCACGTTTTCCTATTACATGATACAACAGCATGCCACACTACTAATACTACTCTGCTGCCATCAAGTGGCTGAATGTGGTACTGCTCTTTTTTATTTTTTAGTCAGAATGAATGGAAACAGTCATATCTCAGCCAAAAAATGGTTTACAAATATGGGAAAAAATCCATAAATATGTCGCTTTGGCAAGCAGCATGGTGACGCAACTGGTAGAGCTGCTGCCTCTCAGCGAGCAGGTCCCCGGTTCAAATCCCGGTCCGGGGGCCTTTCTGGGTGGAGTTTGCATGTTCTCTCCGTGCATTCGTGAGTTTTCTCTGGGTACTCCAGTTTCCTCCCACAGACCAAAAACATGCATGTTAGGCTGATTGGTAACTCTAAATTGTCCTTAGGTGTGAGTGAAAGAGTGAATGGTTGTTTGTCTCGTTTGTCTCTGTGGCCCTGTGATGGACTTGCGACCTGTCCAGGGTGTACCCGGCCCCTCGCACAGTGACTGCTGGACATGGGCACCAGCGACCCCCGTGACCCAAAATGGAAGAAGCGGGTAAAAGATAATGGATGGATGGATGTTTAGCTAGTGCACCTGTACTGTCGCTGTCCTATAAGTCTCAGGGCATGTAAATTACGCAAAAAACAGCAACTTATACAAAGAAAATACGGTAATTAAAGCCAAGATCTCAAATCCATCCACTACAACCAAGAAGAACCCCTCTGATGTCTGGTGTATCTGTGAAACCACAGAGATGTGGGCAAAATGTGTTATTCAGTCTGTGGTCAGCGCAACTCATCAGAGAGGAAGACAACCTGAAAGTAAAAGATGTCTCACCGGCAGACTGGACGGCCGTCCCTGCATGCTGTCCTCCTGAGCTGCCTTGTTAGGCTGGTTGGAGGGAGGAGCGCTGGACTGGGAGCTGAACGAGTCCTGGGACAGTTCCTGATCATAAAAACAGAGAACAGAATTGGCTTGATCAGAGACCGGGACAATTAATTTACTTTTAGCAACATTTATAATATTTCAAACATTATCTTTATTTAATACAAAAGAACCCCATAAAATGCTTTTTTTTTTTTAACACATTTTGTTTTCTTTGAAATCTGCATCAACACATGACATATTATTTTTGAGTTCTTGTGTAAATTTTAGGTTTTTGCTACATTTCTGTCACTTTAAGCATTTAGCTACCATTTTAGTACTTTAAGCTTTTAGCTTGCGTGCGCTTTTTACCTTTTAGCTAGCATTTTGCTTCTTTTAACAGATCTATTTTGTGAGATTCAGTTTTTATCCACCCTTCTGCTCCCTTTAGCTTTTCAATTTGATTAAATTCAGTTCAATTCAGTTTACAGCGTTTCACCTAGATAACTTGCCATGGCAGTGCGCTCATCTCTTTTGTGATTTTACATCTGAACTGCGCATTGTTTGCACTGACAATTTTTGAGCGGTGGGGGTGAGGGGGGCAGAAACACATCTGAGCTGCGAACTGTTTGCACCAACAACTTTTCAGCGTGGGGGTGGGGTGAGGGGACAGCGAAGAGATAATGTGAGTGCTGCCTTTAGCTTGTTTAGTTAGTGCACCTGTACTGTATTGCATGCCGCTTGCTTAGCAGGGTGTCCCGCTTGTATAATGGTAGGGGAAGCAATGGGTTATTTATGTATAGTGCCTAGGGGTGCAGAAAAAAATTGATTCATTACAGACTCTAGATTCCTAGTCCTGGCGATTCTGAATCGATTCTAAAGGCCCATAAATGGATTTTAAAATGTGTTAGTTTTATTTATTTTTTCGCTCCTACTCCCGAGAGTACTGCATGTTAAGAGTTGCATTCGGGCCCAAAAAATCTGATCCGACCTGGCCCCAGCCCGCAGTCATAATTTCCGAACCCCACCCGACCCAACAGTAATTACAGGTCCGAACCCGGAAAAATTTTTTTTTTTGATTAGTTATTAATGGTCGGGTATGCACAGCTGAATAAAAGATGCAGAAGATTCGGAGCTGAAAGGTGTTTGTCCTTTCATGACTGTAAAAGAGCATTTGCTTCTACCTGCATTCTGATTTATTCAGACATGGACCCTGCTCTGACACACGCATGCTTTGGGATCTCACCAGTTTGGGTCGTCAGCCACGCATGTCCGCTGAGTGCAGCAGCTGAATGAATGACCATTTGGGTGATGGATTGCTGCCTGGCAGTATAGTCCCATCTGAAGCTTAAATTAACTTTTTTACCTCTTTCAAGGCCGGTCAGCTCGCGGTGAAATGGCCGCATGCAGCTCTTGATTGTAGGGCAGGCCATGTTACCATATAATTGGATTGCGGCTGATCCTGATCTAATTAAAAGCCAGACACTGACCCGGCCTGCCCATCCAGCACATTATCATGGCACGGCCCACCCCAAATTCTGGTCGGGTGGGGACGGGCTTAGGGCTCGGGTTAGAAATGACAGCTCCACATTACGTGTCCATGGGTCACCATAGGATTTGGCCATGTAGGCCACCATACAGCAAGCTAGCGGTAGTTAGCCAGCTCCCTTTATCTGAATGGAGTCCAGAAGAAAGGAGCAGAGGACGGCACAATTCAACCCACTCCTTCGTTGTTAAAAGTTGGTGTAAAGTCATTTTGGATTCTACACTGTTCCGGGGAAGACAGAGCTTGACAAGAGCGTGTTGTTTGCAAGAAGTGTAAAATAAAATTGCAGTATAGTATTTTGGAAATATGACAAATGTATGGAAGGAAGATGAAAAGCGAAAGTAGCCAACTCTGAGCAATGCAACAAACTTCCAGATAATTCCCCAAGAGCTGTGAAGATGTCCCATTCCATCGCCTGCTATATCATAAAGGATTTACAACCAAACAGCTCAGTCAAAGGTGAGGGGTTTAGGTTTATTTTTTATACGCTGGACCCAAGGTACGCAATTACTTCATGTAGCTGTTGTAGAGATAAAGCAGTGCCACAATTCCACCATGAAACAAAGAATAAAGTGGGAGCAGCTCTGATTAATGCACCAGCTGCAGCTCAAAGGGTAACTGTTTTTCTCATATTATAAATGGTAAATGGTAAATGGACTGTACTTATATATCTCCTTTCTATCTTATTTCAAGACACTCAAAGCTCTTTACAACAATCTGTGTCCTCATTTACCCATTCATACAGCTCTATACTAGATCTCTACAAAGATAATTGAACAAATCATTCTAAAGAGACTAATCAGAGCTTTATCACATTCATACACTGATGGGACACACATCAGAGGCAGTGAGGGGTTCAGTGTCTTGCCCAGGGACACTTCAGCATGTGACTGCTGATGGATTCAAACCCCCAACTCTTGCATTGGAGGACGACTGCTCTAACCACTCAGCCACAGCCACCCCTATAAACTAAAACTTATTTAGACAAGTTATTAGGGGTGGGTGATATGGCTCAAATATAATATTGTGAAATTTCAGAGGTTAATATACTGGTAGGCTGAAGTCTGTTTACTTTTATATTTATATATTTTTAATTATTAGTCTGTGATGGACTGGAGACCTGTCCAGGTGTCCCCCGCCTCTCGCACAGTGATGGCTGGATATGGGGCCCAGTGACCCCTACGACCCGAAAAGGAAGTAGTGAGCAAAGATAATGGATGGATGAATTATTTGTTCCTAGATTTTTATTTATTTATTTAGATTTTTTTTTAGATAAAGCCATGCAGCTATGCTAACCAATTACTGGTAATTGAAGTTACAGAATTTTAAGCACTCCTATATTTGTTCCTATTTTTGGTATAAATACAAAATGATGCAAAAAAGATTTGATACAGTGAGGAATCTAAAATCATTATTATTAGTGCCTCTGTGCGTTGTCTCTGACTGCTCACCATCCTTGCGTCCTCCACCCCCCACCCCCTGCGTAATGTCGGCATCATTGTGCTTGTGTGCAAGATTTTTGTTTTCATTATCACGCTGTTGACCTTCAGCCAAAGATTAAGAGCGTGTTAGGAATTTTTTTTTGTTTCCAAACCCTATGTGTCATTTTCCACCACTGTTTTTGTCTGTCCAAACAGGTCTCACTTGTAAATGAGTCTTCGAGGCTCAATGTGACTTATCTGTTTAAATAAAGCTTGAATGAAAAAAAATAAATAAATGTTCTATTGTTGTGTCATCTTTTCATCTTACCAATTACATAATTTAAACAAAAATGTGGACCATTTCAATAGAAAAATTGTTTCTTAATTGAATTGTTACACCAAAAATAAGAATCAAATTGCCAGACACTGAGATTCGCAGCCCTAATAGCACCAAGTCATAACAGAAGTCGTCTCAGGGCACTGAATAGAAACATTCATATACATAAAAAATAATTGAACATTATTTATCTGAGGAGCAGCTTTGAATTTAACTCCATCACTGAACTCTCATCTTGAACAAGCATGAAGGCGACAGTGGAAAGAAAAACTCCCTCATGAGGAAGAAACCTTTAGCAGAACCAGGATCAGGACAAGAGGACCATCTGCTTCGACCAGCTGGGTTTCGTAGGAATAGATACACAATGGCAGGTCACATGTTAAGATGGAAATAGTATTAAATGAAAACTGTTCAATTTTAACAAATCATTTAAGGAAATTAGGTCAATTTGTCCTCTAGTAGTCTAAGCTTAAGGCAGCATAATAAGCAAACCCTAACTAAACGATATATCAAAAAGGAAAATTTTAAGCACACTCTTAAAAGTGGACAATGTGTCAGCCTCACGGACAGAAACTGGAAGTTGGTTCCACAAGAGAGGAGCCTGTTACCTGAAAGATCTGCTTTTGGAAACTCTAGGAACCGCAAGTAAACCTGCAGTCTGAGAGCAAAGTGCTCTGTTAGGAAAATATGGAACAATAAGATCTGTAATATAAGATGGAGCTAGGTTCTTGAGGGCTTTGTAGGTTAGAAGTAAGATTTTGAATTCTATTCTGGATTTGACAGGGAGCCAATGGAGAGAAGCTAAAACTGGAGAGATCTGATCTCTCCCAGTAACTCCAGTTAAGACTCTGGCAGCAGCATTTTGGATCAACTGAAGACGTTTTAAAGAAGTATTTGGACATCCAGATAATAAACCATTGCAATAGTCCAGTCTAGACGTGACAAATGCATGGAGCAGTTTTTCTGCATCATCTTTAGATCAGATGTTTCTAATGTTAGTGATATTACGCAGGTGGAAGAAGGTGATTCTAGTAACGTTTTTAATGTGGGGTTTAAAAAACATGTTCTTTTAGCAACTGTCTTTCTGAAATTTGCTTTTGACTACCTACCTACCTGTCAACCATCCATCCATCCATTATATTTTACCCACTTCTTCCATTTCGGGTCGTGAGGTCATTGGTGTCCATGTCAAACTGTCACTGTGCGAGAGGCGTGGGACACCCTGGACAGGTCTCCAGTCCATCACAGGGCCACATAGAGACAAACAAGATAAACAACCATTCACTCTCTCACTCACACCTAGGGACAATTCAGAGTTACCAATCAGCCTAACATGCATGTTTTTGGTCTGTGGGAGGAAACTGGAGTACCTGGAGAAAACCCACGCAGCACGAAGAGAACATGAAACTCCACCCAGAAAGACCCCTGGCCAGGATCCGATCCAGCGACCTTCTCACTGGCAGCACCTTTGTATTATTTATTTACTTATTTTTAAACTCTTTTTAGCTTTTAACTGGTGTCTTGCCCCGTTTACTTTTTTTTGTCTTTTTAGTCCCTAATCTGCTTCTTTTAGCTATCATTTTGCTTTTTTAGCTTATGTTCCGATTAGTTTTAGCTTCATTTTCCTTGTTTTAGCTTTGACAGCTCTGTTTCAGCTGCTTCCCCAAACTTCAGCGGTCATTCATCACTACGCATTCATATATCGCATTTTTGCAGGGAAAAAAAAGTTTCTGCAATTTTTGAATATTGTGTCGTAAGAGAGACGAAAAAGTAAAAG